CGTGACAATGTCAGCAGTGCCCTCTATGTCTTAGGTATTGACGATGAACCCAGTGAAATGGTACTTAAAGGATGCAAAGAGCTTGTATGTTAGCTGTATAAAACAAAGAAGTCCTTACATACATAGGCAAAAGATGCAGGATGGTCTCACTTTCTGGCACTAAAGGCTAATCAGGGGACTGAAAAACTTCCACCAACACAAGGTGCCATTCATGAACATACACAAAGAGCACACCTGCAATGTAGGATTTGTCAGCAAGTTCTTGTTGCTAAACCACAGAAACTTGAAGCCACTGTGCTAGGTTGGTCACATGAGCCAAATAATGAACTGATGCCAGTCCTGACAAGACTTCCTTCAGCACCAGAATCACTAGTTCAAAAGTGGCATGACAATGTCGTGGACGCTGCACATGTAGACAGAACGGTGTCGATTGCACTGAAATGTGCATGTGTGAAGCCAACTATGAAAAGTGTAAAAACAATACACAAGTAACACAAGACTCTGATTCAGAATTGACTAAATAAAGTAATATCATTACACAGCCATATACTTTTTGTACTTTTATATGAAATAGTAACATACTATAATATTATGTTGTAATTCCATAGGTACAGCCATTGTGAATTTTACAGCCATCTCGTTATATATACAAAAAAATCTGTGATATAACAGAAATTGGCATGCTTTAGAAAAAAGATCTATACAAAGATATATTAAAGACAAAACATGTGAAATAACTGCGCAATATATGATTTTCACATGTCCTATTTCAAGATGGCCGACACTGTAACAAAATGGCTGAATCGCAATAACATTTGTATGTAATTTCATGATATAAAAAGTGATTTTAGTATGGTTGAAGTCAAGTTGTTTTACTATGGTAGACACAAATCTGTCGTGGATGCTTATCCACTTGTGTTTTTCCTCATTGATTCTATTTGTTGTTGTTTATTCAGATTTATTCTTTCTTGCTCGAAATTTAGTTATATTATTAGATCATGTTTTGCTTTATCTATTCATCTTTATTTTGTTCAATTACAAGCAGTATTAGCTGAGATATAGCCAGTAGAAGCTATTACATGTCAAGATTTCACACTTTAATACATGTATCTCTATTATAAATTAGTCGAGTTACATAAGCCATTTAATAATAATCAATAGACAGCACGAACGCAATACGAATCAGTTGCAAGGTCGGTTTTAAGACGATGTATCAATATTGAAAACCTATCACTGTGTCTCCCTCCTATTTTAATCCATAGGTGTGAATCCTGCTCAACCCTATAAAAAGGGCATTCTATCGTGTATTCATGAGTTGCCTTCTTGTTACATTGTAGTTTCTTTGTTGTAACATCGCCATAATAACAGTGTATTGTTTAAATGTACATTACGCTTTCTTTATTATACTCTACGATCCAATGCATGCAGTTTGTACCTGATCGAATGTGAGCG